TTGCTCGAAATCCGTCATGTAGCTTCGAGATCTTACTTACCCTCTTCGACTCCGAAAGCTGAACATACTCCCAGTAGATTATCATCGGTGCCTTAGAGATCTTATCTACACCAGACGGATCCTAAGTAGAGAACTTGAGAGTGAGGCACCACAGCACTTTCGGCTCAACGTAGACAGCTCGACACGATGCACAAGGGGAAGTTGTACAACTGCAGAATATTTCACGTCCATCCAGAAGCTGCCCTATCTATTCTTGTGGTGAATGATTGGAACAGCCTGCTGGAGATCATTGCTGATGCACCAACAGAGGAGAGTTTCAAACGGTTGCTTGACTGCCATCTGATGAGTACGGCAGGACTGTGCTGCTACTACTGCAACAGCGGTGATCTCCAGAGGAATGCTGCTTCGCAGCCAGCTGCGTCGAATCTGCACTGAATCGGAATCGACGGAGCTCACAAGCATCCCCCTCCTGCTTTCTACACACCAGTGAATGAACCAGTTAGCCTAGCGTACCATAAGACTATCACCAGCTTATATGCCTAACTTATTTTTTATAATCCCGGTCCGCGTATCATCAAAGGAGAGCTGGGAAAGGAATTGCACAAATTCCTCCACCTCAACGTTGGGAGTTCGACTAGAGGGCACCGATGGAAAATATTCAAACGAAGGATGGTCAAAGTGCGGTCCATTCTTTTTTCACCCACTCGCGTTGTGGATGACTGGCACCGGTTACCGGGCCCGTCGCTGATTCGCAGACGGAGGATTGCTTCCAAGGACTACTTTATTCCCACCAACTCAATTCAAATAAACCCTTATGTATCCAAATGGGTACATTTTCAGCACTTTACACTATCGACAACGGAGGAGCAAAATTTACATTATCAAAAATAAATTTGTACTAATGGATGATAGGAATGGGTAATATGTGCGGTAACCGGATTTTTTGGCGTACCATACTGCTGGACATTTTTAGCCACAACAATGTGGAAAACAGTGTTTGAATAAACACTTGAAACGGAATTTGATTATTGTCCAATTTCCTCTAATTCAAGATATCATGGATCGATTAAAGCGGTTCTGGTCAAAGCGTCTTTGGCGCTTATTGGTCATTTTTCCGATTGTTCCCAGTTTTACTGTCGTTTTGCACCCTGTTTCTGCCTTTTTATTGAGGTCGTTTTACTATTATATAAGTACTATAATTCCATTCTGTTTTCCACTATGTCGGTCTCGCAATACACCGAGGCTGTTGTTCCAGGTGACTTAGATTCCGAGGCTATCGCACTTATTGGCAGTTCAAACTGCGATTTGCCAGTAACAGATGATTCCGGCAACATACAGTGCTATGTCTGCAACCGATGGTACCACCAGCTTTGCACGGACCTAAATACCGAGCAGTACGCAGCGCTGGCCTCCAGCGAAAAGTTGCTTTTCAATTGTGCCAATTGCTTCAGCCGCCGGTAAGACCGCGCGGCCTTTCGTACGTGAGACGAATCTCTTGATACCCGGCTGTGAAATGTAGAACGTTCATTCTCGATGCTCTCAGATCTTCGCCTTAAGATTGATCTGCTCATGACGACTTCCAGTCTCCAACAACGCAGATTTGATCGCTTACATTGGAGATCAGCTTGTGGCACCAATCATTATGTCACCGCTCTGCTTGACAGGATTACAGACAACAGTTGGCTATGTTCGGTCAGACTACGAGGTTCATGTAAGTTAAGTAAGCGTCGATATGTGAAGCTTGCCTTTTTAGACGTCTCCACTTACGCTCCTACAGACTGCAGCCCGTATGTAATCAAACATTTATTCTATCATCAAATACTTAACCTGCGTTTTTGCGGGAGATTTCAACGCTCGAGTGGGCCGTTTGCCACCAAGCGGGCACCATCTTGTGGGTAGTTTTGGTCTCGGTAATCGATCTGACAGGCTACTGATTCTTTGTTCTGATCATCGCTAGTTTCTTTTGAGCAACAGTTCTCGACAGACTGCTACCTGGTACTAGCCTTCACAAACACATGAGTGGTCACAGATTGATCACCTAGCAATAAGCTACAAATGACGCGGAAGTATTACAGACTGCTTATTGTACTGACTAACCTGTTTTGAATCCGATCACACATTGGTTCGTGCTAAGGTTTGCTTGCGTTTCGGACGATTGCCCAGGCGTACGCACTACCTGCCGAGCATCCAAAACCTACAGGACCCTACGACGCTATCCAAATACCAGGCTTCTATTGACACTGCTTGCCTTACCTTCTGACGATGGCCTGAATTCACAATGAGTGACCCTCGTGGATGCCTTAATTACTGCCAGTATTACTAGTTATGGAGTTTCTCGCCACCCACAGGAAAGCTGGATCACCCTTGTCTCCTTGTCGTTAATTGACAAATGCCGCTCGGTCCCGGCCGACGCCAGCTGTAGTGGAGAATGCCGATCCCTGGATCGAAGTTTGAAAAACATCGTGAGGCCTGTTGTTGTAAGCATGCTAGTGAAATGAAACCTGCTAGTTTCTCTTGTAATACCGGAAAACTGCTTCACCTCATCCGAGTCACGGAAGGCTTCCGATCTGGAGTAAGCGAAACAATCTGCGAAGAGGATGGCTCTAGAACCACTAATCTTCAACGACGGTTGGAGCGATGTGCCGAAAATTTTCGCTCGCAGTTTTTCTGGTTGCCAGCTCCATCTGTTTCCCCTGGGGCACGCACTAGTGATGAGTGGACTATCCCCACTGATCCTCCCTCTCACCGGGAACTCTGCTGCCTAAAGCGCTATAAGACACCCGGCCTTGATGGTCTATCTCCTACTCTATTTACAGATGGGGCTATTCCCTAGTTCGAGAACTCACCGTTTTGTTCTCAAAGTCTGGACAAATGAGGAGGTTCCATCATCCTGGTGTGCGTCGATACTCGTCCCCATCTTCAAAAAGGGCCTTGCACAAATTGCTTCAATTACAGTGACATACTCTTCGTTCCCATCGTTTGCAAGGTTCTGGTGTCCATCATTCTGCGCAGACTTTCCCCAACTCGAGAATCACTATAGCGAAAATAACAGGCTGGTTTCCGCCAGGGTTGCGGCTGCATCGACCAGATTTTTACACTCCGTCAGATCCTCGAGTTCCACTATGCGTACCAAAAACCAACGCTTGTTGTGTTCCTTGATATCTGTGCTCCCTTCTATTCTGTCGACAGGCCTACATTGTGGCAGTCTGTTGACGGATGGTATTCCCGGGTAGTTCGTTTCAGTTCTACGTGCTCTGTATAGAGTTATTGCTTATGGCAACACATTCGGGCTCCCCGCGCCTAGTGGCATATTTGCCACGCACACCTGGTCTTATCACCACGACCCAGAAGATGTGCTGACCGGAAATACGTCAGTATGATTCCGTCTACTTGAAGCTTTTCGGCTATTGTTCCTGTCTTCAAAATGGCAGTAGAACAGAATATCTTAGCCATCGAGGGATCAGTCTACTCAGCATTGCATCCATATTGGTCGTTGCTTTGCTATCAATGAATGTCATCGGTTTTCTGAAGAGGTCGCTGGTATTTGCTCAGTCTGGACATTCGGACGGCCAGCGATCGTTGGCTTTTTAGACAGATGATCCGTATTTGACTGAAGTTGTCTTGTTAAATGACTGCTAGGGATGTTAGCATTCCATTTATTATAAGGAATCAGTGTTACACCGATACGTACCGACACTTAGCTGCGGCGCGACCAACAGCAGTCTCGCGCTAGCTTCGAGGTGTCTTGCACATACACCAACTTCAGCTGTCAATCGGTGAGTTACAGGCATGACAGCCAATCCAGTCGACCACAAACAGGCCCATAAGTCTATACATTAACGTGCTTCCTGCTGTGCCTGATTATGCAAGGCCACTGTGGTCACTCGGTTGCATAACAAAGGATATGAGGCAACATTGTTATTTAGGGGGGTAATCTGGGTCACTTGTCATAGGTATTCTCCCATGAGGTCTCTTTCTTTTTACCGCCAACATTTTCACATGACAGGCAGATTTTCGCATAATCTATTTCGCATAACCCATTTCCCACTCATTTTCTATCAGTTACGACTATTCAAACTTTTCGAATCTATTTGTCTGTCTTACGTTTGTTCTCCGACTATGATTGTTTAACCGGATTAAGCGTAACTCAGTGACATGGATTGCTAACGGAACACTTCAACTTCCTGTTTATTATATTCGAGCTCTTCTTCTGTCCCACACGGGCATTAGAATTACTAAATCCACTTCATCTGATCTCACTCGTGCTTGTCTTTATCCTCTTCTGCAGCAGTTCATTTGTACCTTGGATCGGTACCTACCGAATGACCTATAATTTGATGTAAGGCGATTTACGCGCCCCACTAGTCATATTCCTAAAACCCAACACGCTAACTTTGTTCATTGTGTCAGCTGACAACCACCATCTGCATGAGGCATGGTTACAAACAACTTCACTCATCTGCGAAAACCCTCCTGGAAGTTGAGTGGCGCACTGTTGTTCGGGTCTTATCACACCTTGCTTCTGTATTTTTTAGCCCACATCCATCTGCAACCTTCAGAGGTTCTGTTTGCGTTAGGACGTCGGTTTGGTTCTTTGTCCTGTTACAATCCAGTTTGCTTCTTACTCCCTTACTACTGACTCGCTATTCAGCAGCACTTATTCTTGGCGCATCAATATATGAGCCGCGCTGACTTAAGAGCAAGTTTAACCAGCTTGGGCCATAGTTCTATGATAGTCAGACTCTTTCTTCTGTCGGTCTTTTGAGCGGGGGTTGGAACTATAGTGGCTCATCTTGCTGATCTTTTCCTTACTTTCACCATATTGCGTTCGGTCTTTAAGTCGAAGGTTTTGGCTGACTGTCTCAGATGCAGCTCGAATTTTAATCATGTATACGAAGTAAAAATTCAGGCTTTCCGGTGATCATCTTTTGTCTGAATCTAACGCTTGTTAACTTTGATCGATTTCCAGTTTTGCAACCAACGTATCCTTGTTTACAGATACTTTTCCCGGCGTTCCGCGTGATTGTCCGGTCACTATCCAGAGTACGTGGCAGCGAGGATAACCTTGCACCGATATCTAGATGTTCCTCATCGTCAACCATGCCAAGAAAACGTAAGTTTTGCCACAACATTTTAACCATTTGGGAAAAAGATAAAGCTAAACACATGGCGCATGAAGGGCCTGCTATTCACACTCGACACCCGCCTCCAGGACTCAAAGGGAAAGCGATTGGTCTCTGGTATGCTGCCCACTCCAAGGCCAAATCTGGAAAACTACCTACTGACTCTGGACATGTGGGTTCCGTGTTATATACAGTGTTGTGCTATCACGATACGAGATCTTCTTTTACTCTTTATCTGCCGTTCCATTAGGCTTACTCTACGTCTGTTATTGTTTGTAGCCTTTTTGCTCCATTAGCTCATGTAACTCGACTCTAAAAATGTTATTCCTCTAGTCCTTCTGCCTTCTGCTTAGTCAAAGGAATGATTCACTTTTAGTTGCTTTGCTATACACCAACTGCACTGGACCGGGCTGATTTCATCAAACTTATCTGCCTTTTCTGTAGTATGGCTCAACCTTACTGTACAGCTGTGAAACTTGGCTTTCTTTGCAGTTCAGCTCTAGTGGGAACCCCGTGTGAGCAGTGAACATGTTCAGCGTCTTTTTGTAACACAGGAAGATGAATCAATCCGCCCAGCACCATTGTTCCACGCATCAGGCTTCGTTATGCTTCGTACTAGCACATGACGTGCGCTATTTGCGCGACCGGGATCTTGGTGAAGGAAGAGGAGGGAAAACAAACTAATAACTTAGTTAAGAGGAATAGAGGCTATTAGTTCGAGGTTAGCCTCGGTTGGTTCCTCGTGGCTGTCTGCTTGAGACTCAAACGACGATGAACATTTGTTTGTATAACGAAGAGCCGACCTCATTAACGTCTTGAATCTTTATCCTTTCCGCTGCCGATTAGCCTCTCATTCCAAGCATGATTTCACCACCGACCCATAAGTAAGAAACTGTGCACAACATTATTTATTTGGTTTTTACTTTTGCCTTTTTCTTTCATGACTACGTAGTCGTTTTGTATTGCGGCACAATAGCTGAGGCATTTCTCGTCTCTCTAACGTAGTTACATAAGCTGCGCGCTAGTTGGCAAGAGCCACTAGCAGTCATGGGTTCGATCCTCCGCAGAGGACCGAAGGATGCGCACCACTGATGAGCCTCAATAAGGCGAAACGGCCGTCTGGTGCTTTTCCGGACAGCTGGTCGACATATCTGAATTGTCGGCTGATTGCGACGAACAAAAATACTTACCAAAATCCTTCCATTCATAAGTCTCTCTAACGTGTTTAATAATGATGATGATGCACCTGCCAGCCCATCGTGCTAGGAACACATTCCATACTGTGCGGTAGTATTCAACAACTCACTGCATTTACCGAGTTTTTTTGCTGGGCGTTGTAATCAACAAAGCGGTCTTCTCTTTCTGGTTTTCTTAACTGCGTTCAAAACGTCACAGGATATCACGAATTCGTCCTACTACAGTGGATCTATCACGGAGAAGCCTTCAAATTGGCGGTTACTTTTCTCATTTTGAAATCATTTTACTCTCGCTGCTGTTAATTTATCGAATTCACGTAATACCTTTGCTATTTTGTTTATCTGGACTGTTTTTGACCTCGATGTGCTATTCCGTCAAAATTTTGAAATCTCTCCATAACACTGCTCCAATGTGCTTCAATGTGCTCACAAAGTCCGAAATACTTTTAAATGTGCTTTGAGGAAGTACTCTTGTAAATTGAGAAAACACCCTGCTGGCTGGCAAGTAAACCTTAGACGTCGCTCAGTTGACTAGACACAGATTCCGCTGATCTTGTCCAGGAATATTCGACCCCCTTGGAAAAATGACGGATATCACCACTTTTATACAGCAAACTGAATATTCGAATGCAGCTATTTTCATGTTTCAAGAAAGCTAGTTACATGCTGATGTATAAGACAAAGTTGTTCACTTTGCTGCTTATCTCCCTGTCAGACCCGACCGTCCCGGTATGCCTCAAAATCATGGAGTGTCGTCATTTTCGTCCATCAACACCGGTGTAGCTCGTCATCCATATATTTTACCTACTCAAAAGTCGCAATCAGCTGCTATTTGCTTGGATGTGAGCCATCGTTTTTTACTGATTTTCTTTTTGTTTTTATTGGGAATGTATACGTATTCCTCGACACACACGCATCAGAGTTAGAACTTTTTGTGGATGATCTATCCTCGGCGTTACTATCTAAACTGGACCGCTCAGTCTGTCATCACCGGGAACTTCAGTAAAATTGTTACCTCGTTTATCCAGGCACTTCCTTTGACTAACGTGGTGGCCTTTCCGATCAGACTTGAACTGTCTTAACAAATCATGCCTGGCTGTTTTCCACACAGAAACTTCCCATACTCGGTAACTCAACTCAGTGTATCATAAGAGTGTGCCCCGTCGTTTATGATGAGACTCACTTCAGTTCATTGGCTAATAAACCCTACAAAACTGTGAGGAGCCGAGATTGTTCGGCATCCAAAGTTGCGAGACTCCAGGAAATGCCCATTTCTTCAGTTGTTGTGGTGTTCGTCGAGCTGGGCAACTTGATCGCAAACGTTTCGCCACCGTTCGAGGTGGCATCTCCATTGCAGGATTGATAGCAGTCAGGTAGCGGGAGCTGGTAGAAGGCAAACCCAGTGATGGATCTACCGATTCTACCGTTTTCAAAGATGATTTGTTTATTCAGTGTGATCATTTCACTGACTATCTTTGCTGCTCGGTCGCAACCATCTACTTACCAGTTGATAGATTCTCCTTACCATCACTCAAACAGCCTAGAAGAAAAAAAATGAGCTTACGAATGAAAAATGACTGAATAATTTATACATCGAGGCCGTTTTATGCATCCACAACTGCCCAAACCTATGGAGACTTTTAATTTAGCTATGCGGTGAAAGCTCCAATAAACAAATTGGATCTGTGGATATAGAGGAACCCCATCCTAAGTTTTGTTCTTCACAGGAAGCATCCTCTACCAGTTTATTCTCATTGCCTTTGTTCTCTGGCTTTGGTCCGAAAATTACATTCCAATACTGTAATGAACACGAAT